GCCTGGCCGGCAGCAGTTTTAACACACATGTGAAATAAAAATTTCTTAAAGGACTTAATAGCCATGTTTTTTTGTGATGTGTTACAATGTTTCATCATAAAAACATACTTATCTGACTTTGTCATCAAAAGTTATTTTATCTATAATAATGAATAGGCAAATAATTTCTGGATTCAGTTGGAGATAAAACTTTGTTGCATTGTGATTCCTTATTCTCAGATAAATTTTATCTGGTCAAAATAGTTTGTATCTATTGGGTTTTCTTAAAACAGAGGAAAGTCACTATCATTAAAATTAGTGCCTTTTAATCTCAGAAAAAAATCATGTAACTGAAGTTAAACCTTGTTTGAGGTGTTGGCAGTTAGAAACCAATCACTTATGTTGGGATTTTGTTTTGTTCTTTGAGTGTGTAAAGAGAAGGTAACTGTTAAGAGACTATTGAAAACATAAATTGCTTGTGAATTAAAGAAAATTATACTAATTTGTGAAAGAAAATCAGTGATTAGGTATATATTGTTTTTTGGAATAACAACAAATGAAGTGTATGTTTTGGGATGATTCAGAGGATTTTTGAGGAGGAACAGTAAAGGTTTAGTGAGGTCTTTCATTGAAAAGGCCAAAGTCAATGATAATAAATGTTCTTAGGAGAGATGTTTCTTAATTTACTTTGTGCCCCTTATTTTCATTTAAAATGAAAATATTTGCACTCTTAAGCCTAAGTAAAATACTCTGTATTGCATTTCAAATAGCTTATTTATTTCTGGCTTTTACGACCATTCTTTGACTTTCATTAGTTCTACTTCATTTTTACTTTTTTAGATAGTTGAAGTTATCTGAGGTTTCAAAAGGGAGAATGTTTTGCTGAAAATCAGTGTTATGCATAAAATATATTCATTGCCCTGGACCTTTCCAACTGTTAAGTGAAATTTCTATCTTGAAATTTACAGCTGTTATTTGTGATGGAATCCAGTAAAAGCCAACTAGTGGGTTTTTTTTGACTGTATTAAATGTTCTCTCTCCCTGAAATACTGGAATCTAAATTATTTTAAAATGTTAACTACTTTCCTTCGCATTGAGAAAGGGAAAAAAAAAAACAGAAGAAGAAAATGTTAACTACTTGGGGGGGAGGGGTCGTTGGGAAAAAAAGAATGGTATCCATTTAGTGTGTCCATAATCCTTGAGAAACATTAGGTCTTGCCTCATTTTGAATAGTTGTCTTAAATACCTATTACTCTCCAAAAGCATAAGCATTTTACTCGTTCCCTGCTTAATGCTATTTTGGGGCTGTTTAGTGGCATGGAATAAATGTTTAGCAGTGTGTGCTTTGGAGAGAAGTGCACCAAGAAAAACCTTTTATTCTCATTCCTGCCAGTCACAGACTGTAGAGGTCACTGAAGAGTCCACATTTTTGAAGCACATTCCTTTTTTGGGGGCTGCTGTATAGTTTGCTTTGTTTGTTATTGTGCAATAAGATACACACAACCTTCTGTCTTTAGGGGTCATATTAGCCGTCCAAGCCTTTTTTGTGCTAAATATGGAACATAGAAAAGTGCTTACTAATTGTTCTGGAGGGCTTAGCTCTCATTATGGAGACCTATAAACAGATCGATTTCCTTCCTGGTTTTCCTTTGTTGTCAAATAGAGCACTTTAGTAACAAAGGTTTTTTTGAGGGGTGGGGGAAGACATGTAGGTGTTGTCAGCGAGCGTCCTGTATAGAATAGGCGTTCCATTTTTAAAACAAGTGCTAGGCCGACCCATATTTGCTCTAGTGGGAACGCTTTCATTTTAGACGCTCTGCTGCTATGGAAATTGACAAACAGGTAGACGAGAGCAAATGAGGAGAGCTCACCGTGTATGGCTGGGCAGTCCCAGTGTCTGAATGTTGTGGGGGAAGCTAGGAACTGCTTGTTTGTGACTCGAACCAGCCTAAACTGGAACCATCCAGTTTGGGTTGGCTGCTTGCCACCTCCCAGAGGCTTCCTTGTTTTGCCAGAGTTTCTGCCCAACCCCAGCCTAGAGGTGGGGCGAGGGGACATGGCTGGCTGCATCACCGGGACTGGGCAGGCGGTGGGAGGAGCCGGGCGGCTGTCCATTACCCGGGTTTTGTTCCTGGGGAGGAGGTATTTCTGATCTAGCAAGGTTGAATGCCCTCGACTGGAGCTGGTGCGAACTTGGTTATTTTCAGCATTTCTTTCCGTTATTAACTCCTTGCTCTAATGGTCACTTTTGGTTTTCTGCCCGTAGAGCTAAGCCTTCAAAAACTACTTCTGCCCTCTCTCTGCTTGGCTACAGCACAACACGGTCTTCATTTGATGACAAGGAGTTTACCACCAGAGTCTCCAGGAACTTTGCTTTTAGTTAGGTTAGTCTGTTTGAAGAACTCTCTCTCTTACCCCTTTGCATTCTTTCTGTTTAGGTTTTGCTGAGGTTTATTTTGGTTTGTTAGTTACAAAATAGGTTTGGGGGTAAAGTTGTGACTTGGTGTCTTAATTTAATCTTGATGAAGACATTTTTAAAATATTGCTGTAAAAATTAATGAAAAGTCCAGTACAGTGATGCATGCCTGTAGTCCCAGGTACTACTGAGGTGA